GGCCTGGGGAGATGTCTCCGTGAGCAACGTGCTTGCTTCACCAGTGTGAGATCTAGAGTTTGAATCCCCAGAATCCAGGGAAAGCAGACGTATAAAGGTCTCCTGTAATTCCAGCCCTCAGGAGGGGATCCTTGGGGCAAGTTGGATTACTAGACTAAATCATATTGGCAAGCTCTGGGTCCAGCAAGAGCCCCTGCCTCAATAAAAAGTAAAGAATGGTCAGAGAAGACACTCAACATCGACTGTGAGCCTCTACACCCCCCCACACACATGTGTACCACACCCACTTAAACACATTTTTAAAAATTGCCTACAGAGAAGATGTAGATTTTCCTAACAACAAGAAGAACACTAAAAGCAATGAATGAGGGGGGCTGAAAAGACAGTTCAGGAGTTAAGAGCACCTACTGCTATTAGGGAGAGTTCAGATCTCAGCACCCACTGGGTGGCTCACAATTGCCTATAGCTCCAGCTCCAGAGGATCCAACACCCTCTTCTGGATTTCCCTAGAACTGTATTCATGCACATATAATCATACAAAGACACATACATATACACATAATTTGAGAGGGATGGAGTTTCAAGATAGGGTCTATGTAGCTCTGGCTGTCCTGGAACTCACTATATAGACCAGGCTGATCCTGAACTCACAGAGATCCACCTGCCTCTGCCTCCCAAGTGCTGCGATTAAAGGCATGCACTACTATTCCCAGCTTATGTACACATAATTAAAAATTTTTAAATATGATTTTTTTTAATGAGGGCCAAGGATGTGGTTCAGTTGGCAGCCTAGCATGCACAAAGCCCTGGATTCTAGTCCCCAGCACTGCTTAAACTGGGCCTAGTGGTACATGCCTTTAATACCAGCATTTTGGGAGGTGGTGGCAGGAAAATCAGAAGTTCGAGGCCATCGTCCTCAGCTACACAATGAGTTCAAGGCCAGCCTGGAATACATAAGACCCTGTATCAGAAAACAAAACAAGAGTCGGGGAGACGCTATAGTTAAGAGTGTGTGTTATTCTTGCAGAGGACCTGAGTTTGGTTCCCAGCACCCAGCTCAGGTGCCTCACGACCACCTGGAACTCTGGCTCCAGGGGACCTGACACCCTTTTCTGGCCTCTGCAGGCACTGGCACTCATGTGCACATGCCCACACACAGACGCATGTACACATAATTTTAAAATAATAATAAAGACAAATCCTTTAAAAATAATAATAATAAACAAGAGCAACCACAAAAGGGCTGTTCTTGCTTGAGACCAGGGTGCTTGTAATCCTGAGGTTTACCATTTCAGCATCTCTCTCCTCCCAAGTCTAAACAGTGGCCTCATAAACCACCTGAGAAAGGCATTTACACAAGAAAAATAGACCAGCTCACATGTTTTCCTTACATTTAAACTTTCCTTGACGCCTAAGCTATGCTTCGCTCAAACATGGTTGTAAATGACGTCCTTTGAGAAACGTAACTAAGAATTCCTCAGGCTCTAATACAGCCCCATGTCTTTCCCTACAGACCTCCACCGGAACTCCCACCATGCCTCGGGATTGTGCATCGCTGTTCCCTACGGGATGCTCCATTTAAATACTTAACAAACTCCCTAACTTAGCGAAGCCGAGGATCCAGCGTCACCTGTGTGGGCGTCCCTATGGGGACAGGGCTGCTGGTGGCTGAGGGGCTTCCCCTGGCTGCTGCTGACAGAGGCAGTGTCTTGGGTCCTGATAATTTGTCTGGAATCCAGCGGTTCCCTGCACTGCAATGTGAATGAACTGCAATCTGATGTTTTCTTCCCACACACAGCATCTCTGCAGTTCCACTCTGCCGTTCTCTTATGCCCAGCCCTCCTCTCTCTGGACTAAGGCTTGGCGGTTTACCTACAGTTATATCTTAGTTGTTGGTTTGAGTTGGTGTTAAAGTAACTTTTACGACTTTTTTTTTTTTTTGAGACAGGGTTTCTCTGTGTAGCTTTGGAGCCTGTCTTGGAACTCACTTGGTAGCCCAGGCTGGCCTCAAACTCACAGAGATCTGCCTGGCTCTGCCTCCCGAGTGCTGGGATTAAAAACGTGTGCCACCACGGGCCGACTTAGAACTTCTTTGTTACGCTTTTTGTACTCAGCAATGTTTTCAATCAACCAGATTTTGTTTGTTTGCTTGTTTGTTTGAAACAGGGTGTCTCTATTATTTATTCCTGGCTGTCCTGGAACTCGCTATGGAGACCAGGCTGGCCTCAAACTCACAGATATCCACCTGCCTCTGCCTCTCCAGTGCTGGGATAAAAGGAATGGGCTACCACTGCCTAGCTGCAAATCTCTTCAACTGGGTGTAGTGGAGCACACCTTTAACCCAGCACTCAGGAGGCAGAGGCAGGCGGGTCTCTATGAGTTTGAGGCCAGCCTGGTCTCTATAGTGAGTTCCAGGACAGCCAGGGCTACATAGAGGCCCTGTCTCAAAAAACCAAAGTAATACATTGGTGGAAACATCAGGTAGACAGAAAACTACAAGTCAGGCAAGCTCTGTTTCAGGCATCCGAGGCTCTCTGATGACATTCTTAGCTTTCAGGTTGGTGGCTGTTAATACATTCCAAGGGTTTTACCTGATAGTCACAAGGGTATTAGTCCAGACACAGAGGCAGGTAATGAAAAGCTACTGAGTGAGTAAAGGTAATTTGCCTGTGGATCAGCAGCATTCCAATTTTCTGCGATCATGAAGTTCCATTCAGTCAGTCAGCCTTGTAAAATCTTCAACACAGACTTGATCTGGAAGCTTCAGTTCACACTATGAAGCCCAGGCTGGCTTCCAGCTCCTGACAGTACCAGTGCCTCAGCCCCCCGTGTCCAGGGTCACACCAAATCCACACACTTGGCTTAGATCATGCTTACCCTGTCACAGTAAAGAAGGTTCTTACAGAGACAATGGCTGTGTTTATGGTCACGAGCGTGCTTCCGGGAGAGCCAGAATAACACCCAGAATACTACACTCTCAAGATCACGGTCAGAAAGACCCTGCCCCACTCTGTGAAAAGACCCATGTGCACCCCACAGGATGAGGTGTCTGCACCCCACAGGATGAGGACTCCACTCGGCAGGGACAGGAGGCACCGCCTGGCCCAAAGGCTTTGGGACAAGCATGCCTCTAGGGCCAGAGGACAGCTGGGCTTGCAGGTGTTGCTGGGAGGGCGACACCCTGGAGACTCCTGGAGATTCTGGACGCCTTGAAGTAGGGCAAGGGAGAGTCCCAGGGGCAGTCCCCAGAGCCCTTAGGTGGGAATCTTGGGGTTTTCCCTGCACAGAATCAGGAGCCCCACCCCTTGGCTTAGGGGGGTTGTGAGGCAAATAGGAGCTAGATGTGGAGCTGCAGTGGAAAAACTTCTTATGTAGCTGGGGAGCTTCCTCCTGGCCCTCCGTGATCCTGCCTCCTTCCCCTCCCGCCCTCTGCCTGCTCTTCCTGCGGAGACAGCTGGTGGAGACTCCTCTTCCTTCACTTTCCGGAGCGGAGCGTGACTCAGCCAGGCGGCTTCTCCTCCACCCCCACGGCCACCCCCAGCTCAGGCTCCTCCCCAGGGGCTCCCCAGGACTAGCCCCCATCAATTCCACGTGTGAAGCCCTGCTGAAAGTCCCTTCCAGGCCTCAGCCTTCCAGAGAGGGCAAGGGCACCTGAGCAGCCTCCTGGGGAGGAGTCACCAGCCCTCCTGATGGGTGCCTTGAAGAAGCCACACAGATGTGCGGTGGCGCTGCAGACGACCACCCTGATTCAGGGGAGGGCTGAGTGAAAAAGAGCAGTCAGGCCAAGAAAGGCGGGAGCTCAGAGAGGAGTTTCCGGAAAGCACAAGGAAGCCAGAAAGCCCTGGAAGTTTCCACAAGTAGGAGGTGAGGCCTTTGTGGAATGCTGCAGGGAGAGGCAGACTGATCTTGACCCCAGCTGCAGAATGAGAACCTTCCTCACCCTTCATCTCCTGCCTGCCATCCCACCCAGACAGTCCTGGAAAACAGCGGCAGAAACTATGGTCAAGTCCCTTCCCCTAGGCCCAGTGCTGAAGGTGACAGGATCCTAGAACCCAGGCCGAGGCACCCAGCCTGAGTCACCCGTCCCCATCCTGTGAAGTCCACTTTGTGGCAGGCCTGTGCCAAAGTCATGCCCAGAGGACCAGCTAAGAAGCCTTCTGCCTGGAGGCACTTACAAGCCCAGTCGGATCCTGTTGCCACCCTGGCATCGAGCTGTGGCCCCTCTCATGCCCCATCCCCAAGGAAGTTCCCTAGCAGCTATACTGGAGGCTTGTATCCAGCTGGGCACGCCCAAATTATGTCAACTTCAAAGTCTCCTCCCTGCCAGCCACTCCCATCTCCAGCCTCAATTTCCCTATTTGTAGTCAGGAATAACAAGGTGCCCTGCTGTCCTGACTGCTGAGAATATCTGAGGCTTTGACAACGGGGCCTGTGCGGCCAAAGCCCAGATCAGCGATAACCAGATGTGGTTTCCGCCTTCGAGCAAGCCCTTAGCCTCCAGGACCCCAAGTTCACTTATCCATGGAGAGGCGGCCACATCTGCTGGGCAGAGCCGTTCCTGAGACCCAGTGCCTGTCACTGTGTGCTGAGGACCTGCTACAAGCTTGTACCACTGAGCAGGGTGGAGGGAGAGAGTGCCTGCTCCTATTCTGGACTTGACGAATTAGCCCATGACCAGACAAGAGCGGACTACACA